GGCTGCCTGGTGATGGCGGATGTTCTCTCTATTCAGGGCTGTGGTACACGTAGCAGAGCGACTTGGCTAACGTTTTCTTATTTCATGTGGGCCTCGTTTGTTCACTCAGTCCGGAACAGGAAGGCCCCGGAGGGGTTGGGGGGTGTGTGTGTTGTGTGAGGGAAACTGTTGGCAGGCTGAAACAAGATACCCATATGCCATATTTTTAAAGAAACTCTGCTCAAGTTATGATGCATTTATTCTCTGAAGTTTGATAAGCTCTTTGTGATCGCCCATTCGAATGCCTGAAAGAACAAGGAATGTATTTAGAGTAGCCTCGATGATTGTGAGCTACTGTGCTGGCTTGGTAACAACATTTTGTTTGGAAAAAAGAAGATCTTTTAATCTTTGTAAAACCTGTGAATTGTGACGCAAACACCAAGATTGACTTGGTGTTTAAATGAGTTTAGCTTTAATGGCTGATGTAATCACATCCAATCTCTTTTAGAGTTGGTCATATCTGATTCACTAAACCCTTTTAGGATATGTATTTTAACCTCCGTAGACCTATCACTGAACTGACATTTGATCAACTTTGTGTGGAATGTCTCTTTAAGGGTGGAGGAGGGGACATGAACAGCATTCCTTTACTTTCAGAAGAGAAAAAGAAGCTTATCCCACAAATGTGGTTGACCTTTGAGTCGTAGCCTGTAAACCCGTCATCCTAGCTGGAAACCAGAGCTGCAGCCAATGCTATGAACTGGTCAAGTGTGTGACCTGTCAGGGGTCCCTGCAAGGGTTTTCTTCTCTGGGCTTGTGAATAAAGGCTACATGCTTGGAACGAGGCCCTCTGTTGCTCTGACAAAGGAGGAGCCAAACACTCAAAGACTTCCATTTATCGCCAGAGTCCCTTTACTCTCATCCTTGTTTTTCCTCAGAGGAAATGAGATGAGAGCAGGATCAGAGACCTGGGAAATCGGGCTTTTCCTGTGTTGGAGATACTGTATTCTTAGCTTTTGGATTGATTCATAATCTATGGATTTATGAATCTATGATACTAATATTTAGTTTTTCTAATATCAGTTTGTAAACACAGCAGTTAAGTAGTAGTAGGCAAATATTTTGTTCTGATTTTAAAAACACATAAAATGCTTTTACAATTATGGATGTGAATATAATATATTTCTATATATAATAGAAATTATGTGGTGCCAGATTGACACATTGGGTGATGGACAGTGAAATAAACATAATTTTGGCCACCTGAGCTATTGAAAATACGTGTGGTGAATATTTGGGCCAAAAATATTTAGATAGACCTTGTTTGAAGGTTGTTAGATGGATCCCTTGCTAATGGGCCCAAATCCTTCGAGAGCACCCTGTTGTTACTGAAGGGGCTTTAGAGGTAGCAGAAACATATACTGTTAATCGCCTTGAGACACTGTCCCTCCAGTGGTATGGACTGACTCCCTCTCTCCCCTTACTACAGGGCTATTCACGTTTGTTTCTAAACAAAGCACAGCAAAGATCAGGACCTAGTCAGACTGCAATCTGAAGCTGCAATCTCTCCTGAAGGACGGAGGTGCGGGGTAAAGTCAGCTAAATGGCCGTATGTGTTGTTGTGAATATCAACTTGTGCTTAGTGGAGAGGAGCGTTGCCATGGTGATTGTTTCCATTCTCTCTCTTGAAACATAAAGACCATATTCAGGCTCGTTTGTCACTGATAATATGGAAAGGATTTGAACTTCGCACCACAATGTCAGAGATGTGCTGAAATCAAATGACAACAATAACAATGGAAACCTGCAGAGTCCCTATTGACAGATCCTGTGGGACCTGGGTGCCTTAGGTGGTGTTCCACTTGTTTACTGTTTCTGAAAACCCTTTCTGACTTTGTGTTTGCCTCTCTTTCTGTGTTTCTGTGTGCTCTTGTTCGGTGCTCTGCAGTCTGGCTGAGGAGGAGGTGAAGACAGAGTCTGATGTGGTAGAGGGGATGGATGCATCTGTACGATCCAAAGGTAAGTCTCTAAGGCCGAGTTGCTCGCATTAAGAGTCAAACATCTTAGGCAGCTTTAGTTTCAGATACCGTTGAGGTTATTTACTGTAAGTTTCAACAGCAGTGTTATGCATTTTGTTGGTTTTTTGCGATTGCAAAGATAAATCCATTATGGCTGGCTGCGTGATTTTTTTGATTTTGCTGTCAAGTAACAACACAGGGTCTACTGTAGGTTGGAGGAAGCCCTCAAGATGTTTGTTACTATCAAGTGGCAATTTAATATGTATAAGTGGCGTCATCAGTTGTTGCTTTTTAGATCAGTGGGATTACTGTCAGTAGTAATTGATTATCATGGGGGCAAAATTCTGAACATCGAACTGCTCGGCTGAAACTGACTTTGACTGTCTCAATTAGCACTTCCTTGGTTTCTCAATAGGCTTGAGAATGTGGGAGGATGGGAGTGATGTATCACGGTTTATGATTTTTTTTTACCCATCCTCTTAATTTATTCTAGGAATAGCTAAATTATTGTCATGAAACCTGTAGTTTAATCTTCTTAAACTTGTGTTGGACTTGAGTGAAGTGAACAATACAAGCCCTGTCTCCTGTTGTGTGACAACCTGATTGTCTTTCTGCATCCAGTCCCTGATCCACCAGGGTCAGCAGAAAGACCAGTGGCACCACAGAAAAGAAAAGTGTCGAGTCCCACCCATTCATCCAACGGACACTCTCCCTCAGACACCTCCCCCAGTCCTCTCAAGAAAAAGAAGAAGCCTGGGGCTGTCAACTGTAACAGCAAAGACCAGGTAAGGGCTCTGGTATACTCTTTTCAAAATCTGGCGTGCTCTCAAAGGATGTGGAGTGTGGTGGGGGCAAATACAAGCGTACTCGCTGCAACTGGAGGTCTGTCCTTTCACACCAGAAAATCAGTAGTAAGTAGTAAGGAATTTACCATTTACTGCTACAATTAACAAAAGTAGATGGCGCCCAAAACAAAACATTTTTGATGAGTTTGAGTTGCTTCTTCTTCCACCTAGCCAACAATTATTCACACTGACAAGGGCAATAAATCATCACAAAATGTTAAAGGCTGGAAGAAGTAGTTTGTACAACTTTTTGTCTGACCTCACCGGGAAAACAAAAAAAGCCTGCCATAGAGAGGAGGGAAGACATGCTATGGTTTAAATACACATTCAGAGGTATTTTCTCTTGGACGGCGTTCATATTGCTGTACACACAAAAAAGGGTCACAGATAGTTGTAAAGAATTAAAAAAGGGCCACTTAAGATAGAAGTTTAAACCCTGGCTCATTTCTAAACTCCACACAGCTAATCATGGCGTGAAGTAGATGTGAATATTGGATTGTCAGTTTCGGGAAGTTACAGAAATGGCTGAAAAGGCTTATAATGGAAGGGATTAGTGCATCCAACAAGCAGTTCTGATGGTGATATAATGCCACCTGTGATTTTCTTCTCTAACCTAGACTACCATGAAGGTGATAATACAGGTACTGACCAGGTGAACAATACTGAGCCACATTTCCTGCGAGAGCATGCCAATTTTGACTGTAGTATATTGTCAGCTTAAAGATGAACATTTAAGGATGTTATATGCTGTTATATGACAGTTAATATGTGTTGTTGTGATAGGTGTGTTGTGTAGCTTTAAAGAAGTGACATTAATGCATGGTCAACTCACAGTATTATTTTTAGGCATTTTGCATATTTGTTTTCTTATCAATCACCTACGGTACATTTTGAATTTAAGTGATTTGCATTTTGGTGATATATGACTCTGATGCATAAGCTTTTATGATCTGCCTGCCGCATTAATGTGGTGCTGAGTGAATCTTTTTTGCCCTTCAGTTGAACATGCATGATATTAATAGATGATTCTAGTGTTTTTGTGTGATATTTTGACAGCCGTTTGACGTAAACACAGCTAATGGCTTGCTGATAAGTTTAGACTGTATGCTTTGATTGTCAAATAAGCTGCAATTGTATTTTACCACTACTCATGATAAATTAATACCAAACACAGATTTGGTGTAAGATCAAGTGGTACTAGCTTAAAATAATTTGGACTGTGAAACCTCATCTTGGGCTGTGAAAGCAGATGCATCAGTTTCTGTTGATCCATTAATGCATGACCAGTGACGTACCAGTTGAGTACTTACTAGAGAGCCATATAATTCATTGTCTTTACTCTCCGGTTACTCTGTTACTCTCAGGTGGAAACACCCTAAAACCTGTTGGGTTAGTTTTGTTTGACTCACAATTGAAACAGTCACATGATTAGATAGTTAACTTATTTTCTTTAAAAAGCCTTGTGTTGGGTTTATTGCCTAGTCTAGGCTGCTTACCCTGCTTACCCCACCTTACTGTTGCCTTGTTTCTGTTGCACTGCACCTTTTTTGTGTTCCTGCGTGTTTTTTGAAACCTGCCCCCCTGTTTCTCTTGCCTGCATTTCAGTCAGAGCTAAGACATGGTCCCTTTTACTATATGAAGCAGCCAGCACTCACCACAGACCCTGTTGATGTTGTACCGCAGGAACGGCAATCGACTTCTACTTGCTGGCTGTGCCCAACAGCGAGGGCCAGGTGCTCTGCTGTGAAGCTCTGCCAGGGTTGTAACACGCCCAAGTGCCTCCAAACTAACCAGCTGAGCCCGAGGGCGACTGGTTCTGTCCAGAGTGTGAGGTATCTCACTAAAGACCTGTGTATGTGTGTGGGTGTACACAAATGATTGTGGGACTCAAGGCACAATCTTGCTTGCATGGTTGACAGAAGGGGTGTCAGACTATGTGCCATGAGCAGCCAGAGAGGAAGAACCTTCTTTTGTCAGTGGTTGATTACACTGTTGTTGTGTTGACTACAGGCACTCCATGACACATCGTGTGACACCTCTGCAAGCTAATTACTCACACTGCAAGTCTGAGAGATGTTAGAGAATTAAACTTTTGATCTGCTTCTTTACATCTAAGAAAATTTACTATGCACTTCTTTTCTTTGGGACAATTTTAAATATATGTACATGCTAAATTAAAGGCAGCAGATAATCTAAACTTTCTAAAAGTGAAGATCTAAATTTATATTGGTCAATCAATCATCTTGCTTGGTTTTGATTATTTTAATTATATGCTCATTATGTCTTTAATTATTAAAACTTTTTGCTGTTGTTGCAGAAAATAACAGTCGCTGAATGCATTGAAACACAGAGTAAAGCAATGACGATGCTGACAATAGACCAACTCTCCTACTTGCTCAAATTCGCACTCCAAAAGATTAAACAGCCTGGGGTAAGACTTGTAAAGATCCATTGTATACTGGTTTTAATAGGTATTTTATAGTCTTTCTGTGTCTAAGAAATGGTTTTATATTCAAACACTGAAGTCCAGGAAATATTTCCAGGAAATGAGACATCCACATTTTGGCTAATGCATCTGTTTTCTATTTTTCATGTTTGTCTAAACTGAGCAGACTGAGCCTTTTCAGAAGCCTGTGTCTCTGGAACAGCACCCGGATTATGCAGAGTACATTTTCCACGCCATGGACCTGTCTACTTTAGAGAAGGTAACATTATTTATTTGGTTTGATTTGCACATAACAGAATTCACAAAGATAATACAAAAAAGGTTTTCAAAATGCTGAATGTAGGCACAAGTGAGGCTGCAGGAAACTAAGATGAGTATTAACCTTTATACAGAAGAGAAGATGATATAACCTTATTGTGTGCCAGAGTGGGAAACAGCACAAAAACAAACAAACAAAAGTAACATATAAAACAAATTAACAAATGTGATCACGAGATACCACTGAGGAAAAAAAAACACTGTGTAGCATGCACTACAGTACACAAGTTCAAAATACAGATCCAACACCTTAAACCAAAGCATAACATTAAAACAGAACATACATGTGGAGCAAGATTTCCTGGTTCAGTTTTTACCATATTATCATAACAGATTGATATTATATATTGATATTCATTGACATTTCTTTTCTTTGATACACAGAATATCAAAAAGAAAATGTATGGCTGCACTGAAGCCTTTCTTGCCGATATGAAATGGATCTTACACAACTGCATATCATACATGGAGGTAAGCCACTTGACCATGCATCAGTAAAGTAAAGTAAGTAAAGTCCCTCTACTGTGCTACTTTACAAAAGAAAATAAATTAAGCTTGTGACTTTATTCCAGGTAATCACAAATTAACAGCAACCGCGAAGGTCATCGTCAAGATTTGTGAACATGAGGTAAAGAAACATGCCTAACTTAATAATAATAATAATAA